CATAGAGGTCCTAAAACAGGAAAGTTTCCGTGAATGGCAACAATAGCTGTAGTGCACATGAAGGCATGGAAGGTAGCATGCAAACACAACATCCTTCCAATTCATTTTTAATCAAGTCGTTGTTTGGTTATGAGATTCTTGCAACAACACAATCTGTCATATAGTTTTCTGGAGCTGAGAGTGTGTAACTTGCCCAATGTCACCCAGTGAATTCCCATGTGCAAATTATGTGTGATTCAGAGGAGTTTCTTCGTCCTGTGGTACCAACCGATAGGCTCTGTATTTGTTTTTTACATCAAAACAAATATAAAAATTAGAATTATTTGTTTCTTTGGTTTGGACAATATTTTTCATTCTATCTGAGGCAGCAAAATGTCTTGGGCTGAGCATAGACATTGCCCATGCTAATGTTTGCTGACCTCATGTTGCAAAACAAAGTGGGGCAAAACTGCATGACCTTTAATGAGACGAATAAAACATTATCCTTTCACTTGAAGAACTCTATCTCCTTATGGGTGAAATGCACCTCATCCTTTTGGTTTCCATCTAGAAACATGCAAGGGGGCAGTTGTGCAGAGGCACTTTGTTTCCGTAGAATTATATAATTCTAAAGTCATACTAAGTCTGTGTGACTTCTGCCAATTTGACCCATTTCATATTGCTTCCTATATCCCATCTAACTCTAAAGTGTGGACTCCGCATTTCAAAAACAAGATATAGTTGGGAATGGAAGGAAAGTCTGAGCACAGAAGATGTAACTGCTGTAAAGGGAATAAACAAGAAAGCTCCACGAACCCTGCAGCAATTCTAGCAAGGCATAACTGCTATTAACCTCACCCTTGGAACAAGACTCAACAAATGAGCCTCCAGCACTATCCTTTCTTCTTGCTGAGCAAGATTGATTGAAAAACAAATTGGCGCAAATAAAGCATGAAATTAGATTAAAGCCTTTCGGTTGATGCTGCCAGGATAGAAACTAAGACTTGGGCAAGCTGCTGTGGGAGCAGAGGAGGTACCATGAATAAACCTGCCTGTGGCCCTTCCTCGTGTGCCCCCCCCCCAGTCTTACAACCCGGGCCATGATATGACATCATTATAAACAAGCAGGGAGGGCTTCTGACTATGTTTGCTTCCTGCTCACAGACTGCCAAGTGATGGCTCATGAGATTGTACTCATGAAGAGCAGACAGCTGGCAAACTCAAGAAGTCTGGATTGTCATTACCCTGAAGGATACAGGCTTCAATCTGACCAATTAAAACATAATCAAGGAACTAGCCTAATGGGATCTTTTTCTTCTTTCTTCATGATCTACACTGCAAGATTGTCTATCTTGTCCATCCATTTGCAGAAGAGAAATGAAAACATGCACTTTAAAACAGGAGCAAACAGATGTACTAGGGAGGGGACATTTATTTTAACTCACACCCTGGAAAACTGGAAAGTGGAGTAATATGACTTCCTATTTAGATTTTGGCTGATTATAAGATTCTTTCTACTCATAGGCTTTTATTTTGGGGGAGGAATTAGAGACTAGGGGGTGTTGGAAAGAAACTGTTGCATTTTTCAGTGGTTATAAGTTTGTTTGCTTTTTTACTTCTTCGGGGTGAAAAAACCTGGATTGGAAGGGAAAATTGGGTTTTTTTAGAGGACCAGCAAAAAGAGATTGGGCCCTTACTTCCTCTACCTCTGTTTTAGAAACAGACCAGTGAGAGGTTTGAAGACAAACATAATGTAGATGCCCAGGGAACCCATTGCTGGAGGAAATTAGATGACATTTAGGAAAGGCATGAAGACTTTCCTCTTCAAAGCAGCTTTTAACTGAAGCCAAGCACTTATGGATATAGAAGAATGGGGAAATTTAAATTGATTTTAACTTTTAATGTTCAGTAATACAGAAAGCTTTTAAGGATTATTGAACTTCTAATACTTGTTTAACTGTAGTTTTTAACTATTTGTATGCATATTTTTAAATATGATGTGAGCCACCTTGGGTCCATCCTGGAGAAAGACAGCATAGAAATCTCCATAATAAAATAAATAAATACATAGGGAGAATAAAGTAGAAGCTTGGGTTGTTGTAGGTTTTTCGGGCTATATGGTCATGGTCTAGAGGCATTCTCTCCTGACGTTTCGCCTGCATCTATGGCATGCATCCTCAGAGGTAGTGAGTAGAAGCTTATTTATATTGTTTTGGGGCCAAACTTAGTAGTCCCAGACAACCCCCAGAGCAAATAGCAACAGAATGTTACATTTAGGCAGCTTTACTCCACATCTATAATGCTCCATGTTATATTTTTTTTCCATGGAGGCCTGACTGTCTGTCCATGATAGCTTGGAAACTTGACTTCTTTAGACCACATTTCCTAGGCAATTTTCAAATCTGACTAAATTTGTATCAAATTTATTCTTGGAGCTAGTCTTGAGACAAAATCATTATATCATGTCAGTGTCATTTTTTTCTGAAAGTGGACGGAGAGTTCATTTACATATGGGGCTTCCCATTTTGGAATACAGATGTTATTTTGGCATCATATGTGAACTTTCATCACTTTCCAGAGAAAGTCACAGGTACTGAAAATTGGAAATCTTTTGTGAAATTATGGGAAAGTAAATGATCTATTTGAAATTCTACTAGAGGGCGATATTTGGTAGGAGAACAGCATGCAGTTGTCAAGGGCAGCCACACCTGCTTCCTTGCCTTCAAGCTCCTATCAAGATGTTCTATTGTTTGCCAAGTAACCATGTCCACCCACAAAACCAAAGCAGAATAAAAGGACTCAAACCCAGAAGCAGGGTGTGTGATGAACTTTGTTTTGTGTTTGACAGCAAGTCATAGCCCCTTGTGGGTGCTTTCTAACCTTTGGCATGGCCTTTGGCTTCCGCTATTGTGATGGGCCCCCATTGTGAGATGTTCCTGTTGCAAGCAGGAGACAGTGGTAACTTGCTGAGCACTCTTTTGGACCAACTCCTATTAAAGACAGTAACCGGGGAGTGGGGTGCGAGAGGTACTGCAGAGATGTTTTGTTCCACTCTAGATTGCAGCTTAAGCATACCATCGAGGAATCACTATGTCCACTATGGCAGTGCCCAGGTTGAAAGAGATATCATCAAATAGTAAAATGGGAGGCAATGATGGCTCATCTCATATCCTACAACTGTCCCAATTTGACAGGGACAGTCACAATTAATCCTATGCCATCCCACTTTTCCATCTGCTTTTAACAATATCTCTATTTTTTCTTCTTCTTCTCTTAGGGCCCTTCCAGATAAGCCCTATATCCCAGGATCTGATTACAGGTTTTCTGTTTATCCCAGATTACCTGGCAATGTGGTCTCATATAATCCACTTTAAAGCAGAAAACCTGGGATCAGATCCTGGGTTAGAGGGCCTGTCTGGAAGGGCCTGCAGTCTTCTCCCTTATCATCCACTTATTTCAGCTGGCAAAAACTGAGTTCAAAGTACGAAAGCAGTTTGCACTCAATTAACTCCGCAAGAAAAATGACGGGAGATCTCTTGCTCAGACCAAGGCAAACTCCTGCTGCCTCCCTTAGCTTGTGCTATTTCCCATTAATAACTTTGGCTATCGTGACCACACCTTGGCCACACAAATCCATTTTTATCTGTGAAATGTTAACTTGATGAGCACTTTCCATCATCATAATAAGGGCTGATAAAGGAGTAATCACAAGGTACAGGTTGACTATTCCTGAAATTAAATGGTTGGGACCAGAAATGTTTTGAATTTCTGATTTTTTTCAGGTTTGGAATATACATATTTGCCTACATGTACATAAAGAGATATCTTGGAGATGGGACTGAAATCTAAATGTGACATTGCTTTAAGTTTCTTATACACCTTATATAAATTTTATAAAATATTATAAATTTTATAAAATCATTTTGTGCACTTTTTAAGTTTGGGTACATTGTGCCTGCTTCTCTCGGTTTACATTTTTATGTATTAGAAATTATAAAACAAAGCACAGTTGATCTCTCAGGGAAGAGCAAGAATGTTCCCCACTGTGCATCCTCTGGGCTGTTTCCCTGTCCAGCTCTGATCAGCCCAAGCATTTGCGTAATGGCATTGTATCACAGCTGCAAATGAAGCATTGTGATAGCCAAAACACAATGTCTCCTATCTTACAGCATTTTGCTCCAATGCTTTGTGGGAACTGCTAGGGACCTGATAAGACAGACAGGAAACCCTAGCTCTACTGCACAGAAAAGTATTGTTTCAGTTAATATTTCCAGTGGCTCCCCAGTGTTTGCAGATTAGCCTTTTGAATGGCAGCTGTCCTACAGTATAGGAAAGAATCTGTGGTCAGTGTCAATGGAAGGGAAAAGACAGCACAGAAGGATTCCAGGGGCAGAGTCATGCAAGACGTCATGTCACGGCTCACGCACCAGGTTTATCTCTCGGAACAATTGGCTTTTCCCCTGAAGCTGTATGTTCTAAATTGTTGCAATGTTACTGAATGTTTAATTATATTATCATCTTAATAATTTAGATGCTTCAATTAGCTAGATAGACATAGATATGATTGTTTGTATTTACAAATCAGCTTAAATTGTGATGGGAAAACATTAGTTTTATTCTCAAATGACAGGTGGATGACAACATTTACAAAACTCCCATAAAGTACAAAAGTTGTCTTTTTCAAACTCAGAGGGTTGGACACAGAGGGTTTCTAAAAATTATTATTTATGCAAGAATCCTTATCTTGCCCTGCTAGCATTTATCAAGGCAGCTAAGAATAGTTAAAAGCAATGAAATGGGGGGAAATTGCAAATTGCAATAAAGAGACAGATACTATAAATATGATATATATTCAGCCCTGCCTCAAACTGAAATAATTGTTAGTTCATCAGTAGTCCCATTGATTTGAATGCATCTTCTTGTAAGTGTAGAAAATAAGCACAATGACGCTCACAGGAAACATAAGGTACCTTGTCAAGGGAAAAGAAAGAAACTTGAGGTAAAACAAAAGAACAACTTACCTGAGGGCTCTTCTGTGCTGCTGGCTGCAGTGGTGGGAGGAACAACAGGGATCTCTGTGGAAAAGAAGAAAAAGTGGACAGCAAAAGGGAAAAATTAACAAGAAAAGAGGGAGCTGCTGTTTTCTCCAGCTAAAAAATAACAAATGGACACTTCACAGGAGAAGACAAGTGAGAGCTGAAGTAAGGCTACAATTACTTGTAATTGCTATGATTCCCTACTATGTTAGCTACTCTTCAGTTACACTTACAGTGTGGGTTGTGACTACCACTTAGTTCACTTGCTGGTTCATGCTGTACCTGGTTCTGTTGTTGCCCTCTGCTTTGTTACAGGTGTAGAGACAATGATGTGGAGGAGAAGTCGTTGGGAGGAAAGGGTTTTTCAGCCACAGGCTAAACAGTTTGCAGCATTCAATTTTTTTGAAAAGTAACTCCAGGTTGTTTTGAGAAACAACAACATTTCTCGCTTTTAAAATGCATCAATATCAGTAGTTAAGTATCTTTGAGGATCTTGATATTATAACTGTAACCAATTAATTTCAAAAATAACTTTACATAGTCTTAGTTGTTGTGGAAGAAAAGTGATGGTGTAAATAAACACTGACTATCCAGAGGGAAGATTCTGTAACCCTGTCTTCAGCAGAGGCGGCCATCTAGTTGTCAAACCCAATCCCTCTACTGCTTCTGATGAAGCAGGACTGTATCAAAGAAAAACAAAACATGTCTTTCTTGAAGCCGCTTCTGTTTGAAGAATTATCTTTTTCATTTCTTTGTGTTTGGGGCCACATACTCTATATTCAGTAAGGTAAAGTCTAGTCTGGCTCTGAAGGGTGGTGCTCATCGCCATTTCTAAGCAGAAGAGCTGGCATTGCCCATAGATGCCTCCAAGGTCATGTGGCTGACATGATTGCATGGAGCAACATTACCTTCCCGCTGAAGTGGTACCTATAGATCTACTCATATTTGCATGTTTTTGAACTCCTAGGTTGGCAGAAGCTGGGCCTAAATGTGGGAGCTCACCTCGCTCCCCAGATTCGAATCACAAACCTTCTGGTCAGAAAATTCTGCAGATCACTGGTTTAACCTGCTGTGCTACCATGGCCCCAAGTAGGATATCCATTGAAGTAGGAGATCCATAATCAAGTCTCCTAGGAACTTTTTAAGGTACTGTTCCATTATCTGGGTGGAGGCAACAAGGGGGCACTAGACAGAGGACAGTCCATTTTAAAGGGGGGATGGGATGGGATGGGAAACTATTTCCCCCTGTTTTCCTGTTATCCCCCCACCCCCACATGTTGCCGTTGTGGGAACAACCCTTGTTTATGACATGGAAGGTGGGAGGGAACAACTGGTGAAAATTGTTTTCCTCCTTCAACTCCCCCATGTAAAATGGACTATCTTCTGTCTAGCACCCCCTTTTGGTCTCCACTCGGATAATGGAACAGCACCCCTTTTTTCAAAAAAGATTTTAAATCCACAGTTTTCCAATTGTTTTTAAAAATATAAAAAGATTCCTGTGATCCAACCACATATTTGTTACAAAATACATGGTTTGTGAAAACAAATGAAATCTCTTTGAATGTGGACTGGAGAAAAAGAACATAGGAAATAAAAGAGTTCATGATGCAAAGCCATTAGAGATCAAATTCCTCATGATATTAGAACAGTTTTCCAAAATGTACCACCCCTAGTGCAGTGACAAATCATGTCCTTTGAGAACAGAAACTGCTCATAAAGTATGCATGTGAGCCTGTTCTTTAAGATTTTATGAGCCGTAGGTCACAAGGACCTGGCTACACACAAAATTTAGAAACTCTGTCTGTGCAAAATTGGAATAAGAGCAGGATTGCAGTCCATCCCTGAAGTTCTAATCCCCTTCACAAATGTGGACTTTTGTGAGGCCATGCTTATTTTTGGCATATCCAAAAAGGAAGATACTATTCACACAAATGGCAAGATAGATGATTTTTATGAAGTATTGATAATCACAGTGAACCATACCATTTGTTTTTATTTTTATCCTGTGACTCACATGAACAAAACGGCACCCAAAAGGATGCCATGAATTGTTCCTCATGCCTTGACCTTAATGATGCACCATCATAGCATATTTTGTAGTGATGAAAGTTTAAATCCTATAGGTCCTCCCACCCAGATACCGATCATATCTGATTAGCATCAGCAACCTTGTTATATGGCATGCCTTGAAATCATACACAGTTTATTTCTCAAAAGTACCAGATGTCTATTCCAAATTAAGATTATAAAGCATCCTCACAGTGTCGTTAGTATCTCAGTATTAAGACTTGATTCTTTCAACCATGGCTGTTCTCCTGCAGTGCTGCAGACTGAATGATAATGAAACAATACAGTGGGGCTGATACTGCTTTGCCTTTTTTAAAATTTTACCTTCCAGAGCTGCTGTAGAACTTTTTTTCTTTGAATGACAGTGTTCTTTAAAGGCAGATAGAAACAGTTTCCAGTGTAGTATTGTTAAGGAGAAGGGGAAATCATTACAATCTCAGCAGCACCAGCATTAATCTAAAATCATCATTGACAATAGGCAGCAGCAGTAGGAACAGGAGAAATGAACGGAGAATGGTTATAATTTTATGATTCCAACGATCAGCCATTTGAAAACTTTAATATGTAAGACAATCTAAAAGGGTGTTTTGTTAATCCTGTTTTCTCACTCAGCTCATGCCATTTCAACTTAATTAGATATGCCACATTTCAAAACAGGGGTGTATAAATCTCCAGTTCACTGTACTAGTTTGGCACTGGGCTCATGGCATGTGGTTTTCTGACATAGGTTGACATTGGATGCATGTGAACTACAGAATAATTAGTTTGACGCCACTTTAGCCATCATGGCACAATGCAATGAAAAACTGGGATTTGTAACTTGGTGAGGCACCAGCACACTTTGACAGAGGAGAATAAAGACCTCATAGAGCTACAACTTTCAGGATTCCATAGCACTGAGCCATGGCAGTTAAAGTGATATCAAACTATATTAATTCCGAAGTGTAGCTGCACCCATACTATTTGATGTGATAGTACTCTAACAGTAATAGAATCCAAGCTGCATATACTGGAAAAAATGTAAAGGCGTTGTGCAGACATAATTTTAAAATCTCAGCCATAATAGCAGTAGCTATTTATTTCTGTTATTGCTGGGGTGAAAATTAAGTACTGTTGAGCTGTCTCAAGCACTGAAGGAGTGCATAGTTAAACAGAGTGTCAGATAATTGTATGTACCTTGCAAGCATTTGTTTACATGAGTACTTGTTTGTAAACATATAATCTAATCCAGTGGTCCTCAACCTGTGGGTCCCCAAATGTTTTGGCCTACAACTCCCAGAAATCCAGCCAGTTTACAAGCTATTAGGATTTCTGGGAGTTAAGGGCCAAAACATCTGAGAACCACTGATCTAATCAATCCTAGATATTTATATTTATATACACAAAAGCATACAAAATGCACAAATCAGCCCAGACACATGAAACAGAGCTCCACTGCACATTACAGCTTTAATAGGTACGTCTTATACAATCACATTATGTACTTGTTGGAACTAGTATAACATTCATATATGTCTTTCTTGGTTCCTTTGTTTGTTTGATACCTTTTCCCTACTATGCATTACATGTATGTAATGAGATGAGAAAGGCCGTGTGTTTGAAAAGGTTGCACTTTTTAGCGGGCTCACAGTGTGACTCTAAGAAGTACCCATCCAAACTGTAATGTGTGAATGGCAAACAGTCCATCTAAGTTAATAGACTAGACAGCGAGTCTATCCTACCAAGTGTTAGTAAGTAGGCCAGACTCAGTCAAGATTAATTCTGTTATGGTACCGATGTTAGAAAGAGCATCCACCTACTTATGCAGGGGGCAATGGGAGATCTGCTTTGCTGGTAACCTTTGGCACATCGGTTGCAAGTGATGCCTGTCACGCCATCTTTGCAGGGACATTGCCCTGTAGTTTGATTACAGGTTTTTCCAGCTGCACCCACGGGATGGCAATCACATGCTGTGGGGGGAACACACAACAAGAGGATCAGAGTGAGAGGAAAGAAAGAAGGAAAGAAGGAAGGATTTTCCACAGAGAATATGCATTGTCAGTGAGCAACAATATCCCAAGACAGCAGGGATGAATCATTCTACCAGACCAACTGTACAAGAACAGCTCCTGCTCTTCAGGCTTCAGTTTACAGTCAGCATCTCAGCCTAGCTGAATGCTTCAAACCCAAAGCCCTTCTTCACCAACCAGACTGAAAACATCACTGTCAACCCCTTATTTAGAGGTGAACAACATTATAAAGAAGTTTACTATCAGGTGTGACACCTACTTGGACCCAGAATTATTCCCCATAGTTTCTGCATCTTCACTCTTCACTCAACATTTCATCAGTGGCATCAGAGCTTCTGTTTCCACCCTCATAATTGATTATGACAAGTCATGGAAGCAGGCAGACAAGGGACAGTTCACTTATCTCTTCAGCTCACAGAAATACCACCCATGGTTTAGCACAATGATTCCTTGGTTTTGCTTTTCCAGATGTTTTGGATTTCAGCTCCCAGAAGCCCCAAGCAGCTTATCCAATTATGGGGAATTCTGAAAGATTGTCCAGAACATCTGGAGAACCAAAGTTTGGGAACCACTGGTTTACCATAAAGCTGTAACATTCACTAAATTGACATTGTGTTTAATTTCCCTAGTGAAATGTCTTTTGAGGAGGTCAAGCCATTAACTAACCCAAGGGCAACCCTGCTTGATCAAACCAATATCAGTGGGTGAATTCATGCTCAGATTTAGTTTGAGTTTTAAGGCTAAAATCCTATAAGTGATATAAACCTTGATTAAACCAATATAAGTATAAAATATATCTTTTAAAGAGGTATGCATGAACCGCTTTGAGTCTCCTTGTGTGAGAAAAAGCAGGGTATAAATAAACATAATAATAATAATAATAATAATAATAATAATAATAATAATTTATTCCTCAATGCTCCTTGTTTTGGTTGCATAACTGCAAGTGATCAAGGGCCTCACATGTGCTCATCTGTTCCCTATCTATATACTAGCTTTAGGGGTGTTCCCAGCCTGACCTCTCACTCCATCTTATATACTGGGCAATAGCCATACAGCATGATGTGGATTGATTTCCCTTGCAAATTGGGAAGCAGCTGATCGATAATGATCCCACCCCATCTTGTGAGCAATTTCCATTGTAAAAGGCATAAGCAGAGTCTATCACAATTCCTCCTCACACAAGTGATAACTTGTGCAATGGAGTTTGTGAGGACATCAGTCTTCTATCTCCCAATCAACAGAGGAACAAATCCCCATCAACTGCAGTGGCTGCTGCCTTATAGCTGCACAACTAGGAAAATATGTAGGAATTGTGAACATGAAACCATCATTGATGTATAACTCTAAATTATACAGTCATCGTTTGTCAGTAAAGTCCAGTCTGTCTCTTCACTTATTATTACACTAAAATACTTGCTGCAATACTTAGTCTGGTCCCGTCCCGTCCCCCCTCCACCCCCCTCCACCCCAAGATTAGCAGTATTTGTGTTTTCAATATCTTCACTGAATATGATCATTTGTAACACGACATCCTTCAGATAACTTCTGTTATTTTTATGGCTTGCTATACATTGAAAACACACAATGTTTTCAATTGTTGATATCAGCCAGGTGGATTTGTATTGCTATGCTTACTTTTGTTCAGTAGCTCATCAATTTCATCTAGTCCATTGTATACACATATTCAACAAAGAAATTCAGGAATCAGAGAACATTGAGCACTAAGATCTGGTCATTTAATTCTGCTGAATGTCATGGATATGAACATGGTTGTAAATAAGGTCTTACTTTTAGACAAATAAAACAGTATGTCAGATTTATGACCCACAACAACCCCTTTGCACCCCCCCCCCCCTTCTCTACAACAGTTATTCGCAGATGATGGCTGATTTGGGTCCTGCTAACATTTCCTTTTCTGAAAGAATCTGTTTGCTGAAGCCAAATACCAAACTTATGACAAACAACAGCATCTGTGCAAGTGCAGAGCTCCTGCACTGTAGGAGCTGCAAACACGTGCACCAAGATACAGCCACAAAGCAGGGAACCCCTGACTAGTTCTCAACCCTTTTCTGACTGGGCTGTGTCACAGGGGAAGTCTGAGCAGACATGCCAGCATCATGTTCTGGGAATCGCACCGGAGGCCAGATTTCATTCCAAGAAAATTGTGTCCTGTTTACGTCCAGATGTCTTCCTGGCCTTTAGGAAGGGTTGTGAAAAGATTCCTCATTTCTCCCCTAAAGACCTTTCTGTTTTACATGCAAGGAGAAATACAACCAGCTTTCATACATTCCAAGATGATGTACTAGATATTTTCATTGAGGGTGCTAGGGAAAGCAGCTTTATATGTAACCTAGCTTTATAGAACAGTATCAAGCCTAAGGAGGAAATTTAGTGCCTTGTGACCTCCCATCCCTTTATAGAAACAGAAGGTTAGACCCTTCACCTTGAGGAGACAAGGGCGGAGAGTTATTGGGGAGGAAGCCACCTGCCAGAATTGAAGTTCCAGAACACCGCCATCTGATGCATAAAAGGTCTAAAGGGAAAGAGAGATGGCTTGATCCTTTCTTGGACACAAAACTGTCCTAGATGTAATCGGGGTGGAAGTGTGTGAAACTATTGGCTTCTCTAGAGCTTTAGGACATCTGCAACATGAGTGGATTTTTGGCATCAGTGTGACTTCAGTGTACTGTTATCACTGCATGCAGAAAGACCTGGCTTTATTGAACTAATATTCAAGGAGCCAGGTTAGAGACATCTGCTGTAGAAGTTCACACAGATGACAGATGGAAATCTAAACATTCTAGCCTTTCCAAAAATAAAAGAAATCAGATCAATAATGTTTTTAAACTTATTCTCCTTTGCCTTTCCTTTCGTTTCTGCTTTCTGTTTCTTGGCCTTTTTCATCAGTTTTCAAAAACATTGAGAATTAATGCTAGAGAATCATTACTATTACATTAAATACATTAAATAATGTATCAATACTATTAGACAGACTAGCGAGACTTTATTTCCTCCAGATATGGGCAAATGAATCCCAGCTATAGGTTCTGTAGGTCCTTGCACATTTCCCCTTCCCTCCACAGTTTCCAAGAGTACCTCACCACACACTATTTAGAAGTCAGGAAAGAGATCACTGGATTAAACACTGGATTAAAGTAGATTCTTTGCCTGATTCGACATAAGTTAAGATTCTTGCATTCCTAATTTTTCAGAGCAACCCAGTTGGACATACATTGTTTTGTAGTTATGAAGTCACTATGACATTTGGGCCGAGCCTGCAAAATAATTCTCACTTACCTTGATTACAGTGCTGTTTAAACACACAACCTCCCCCAGTTTGAAATTAGATGGATTTCTTTTAGATGCCCTAGAGTTTTAATGTGATTTTTAAAAATTTGTACTACACATTTTTAAAGAAAAAAATGCATGTGTTCTACTTCCCAAATTGGGATTGCTGTGTAATCAAAGCATGAGTGGTTGAAGGGCAGGATATCAGAAGTGCTAAGGTCCTCTGCTCACTGTTACGTACTACATTTTATTAAACACTTATTATTTTATTAAAATTTAATAAATATAGTAACCCCTCCACATTTGCAGAGGTTAGGGGTGCAGGGGCAGTTGCCCTATGTCATTTTTAATAAGGACTTCAATAATATCAGTGTCCATCTTATCTATGTTCAGTTAAGTTGAACTTAATGGCCACAATTCTTGTTACTTGGGGGAAACTAAACTGGCAGGATAGGTTGGTTGGTCACATATATATGCAATATTTGGGGTGGTGGAGAAGCTAGAATGGGAAGAAGGGAAGAGGAGAAAGTCATTGCCATAGGAGTAACCATCTAGTCCCTTCTCATTGCCCTAGTAATGTTGGTCTCAATGGATCTGGGCTTAAGAGAGGTTTCTACAGTCCCTATTTAGTCCAGATCCACTAAAGCAGGCATGGGCAAACTTCAGCCCGCCAGGCATTTTGGACTTCAATGTCCAGAAATCCCAACCAGCTTACTGACTGTTAGGAATTGGGGAGTTGAAGTCCAAAACATAGAGAGGGATAAAGTTTGCCCATGCCTATACTAAAGCCATCACAATATTAGCTGCTACTGGAGCCTTTTCTGTTGGCTCTCAACCACACGAACATTAGGAAAAACTTCCTGATTGTATGAGCTGTTCAGCATTGGAACTCTCTGCCTCGGAGTGTGGTGGAAGCTCTTTTCTTGGAAACTTTTGAACAGAGGCTGGCTGGCCATCTGTCAGGGATACTTGGATTGTGCTTTTCCCATATGGCAAGCTGTTGGACAGGATGGCCCATGTGGTCTCTTCCAACTCTATGATTCTATGATTCTACATCCTGCACAATGTTGTAGTCCTCATCAAGGCTGGAAATAGCTCTTCCCCTATTGGTTTCTTTGTCTGCCTGTCTTGCTTTCTCTCCTCCTATCACTTGCTGGCTAGCCTGATACTTCCCAGGGTCAAGCCTCTTTTTCTGAGCACATGAGAGGCCCCTGAATTTGGTTCTTCTTTTGTTCTCATCCTGTGAACATGGGGAGACAAGATGTCTGCTGTGAGTTAGTTAGTTAGGTAGCTATGCCCTGTTAACTTTCCTATTTAGATATGTAGTCCTTTGAATAACCTTTTAAGACTGACTCTGCTTCTGAATTGCTTAAACTCATTTGCTCTATTGCTGGCACTAGAAGCTTTCAGAAAGAAAAGAGAAGGAAAGTTAGGCAATGGAGCCATTCAATGGGAGTGCAGATGTGCAGAAAATTGGGAGGAAAACAAAAAAGTCTGTTCGTTGATATAGATATGACAATATATGTAGGCCAGGAAGAGGGAAAGAATGTCACAGCAACTGTGGTCGTGTGAATTAAAATACTCTGATACAGTAAATATGCTAGAGATGCCCTTTTACACCAAGATGACTTCAGAGATGGCAATTGTGT